TGAAGTAAAAGGATTGCCTGATTTCAGCTATCTTCTCTGTTCTTAACTTCACTAGAACACTATCGTCCGGCAACTTAGTGTATGAACTATTCCTCATCGAACAGGGTATTTAGCAAAGTGAGCGAACAGTACTGCGACAAGCATCTTAACTCTGCCCGCCCTTACTGTAAATTTGACTCGTTCCGTTCCGGCCAGCCAAGCATCATTTACTTCATCAAAAGTTGACAATTTCCTAATTTTTACGCAGTTTTTCTTTATCACACTGGCTCTTGCTAACAGCCGTCACGGGCACTCACTGGAAAATTGGGCAAAAAGTAATGGTTGAATTTACTGCGTTGTCAGCAATGCACACTGAGGCGCAAGTGCCCCGGGAGAGTAGCCGCTCCTGCTGCTATGCATATTTGTTGGGTTGGCGCCATTCGAGCGTATGTTTATGCAAATGAGCGTGCCGAGGTTATCACCACTTTGCACTGATCCGTCCATCTCTCCACACCGATGCCGTTTGCCGCCGCCGCCGCGATCTGTTTGCATTGTGCGGGATGTTGTGTGTACGTATGCAAATTAGCGTGGCCAACTCATCGCTTCCCGACGGTACCGTCCGATGCGCCTTTCTCCGATTGATGTCGCAATTAAACCATTTATTCACTTATTTGCTTTCAGGTATTTATTGCTTCCTCTTTTACAGATTCTGTCTTTTTGGGTGCGTCCAATCGACGGGCATTCCAAGTGGTCAGCGTGACGGGCGTTAATGTTCCAGAACGCCTGGATTCTTAAATGACACACGTCTGCTTGCGTGTTTGTGCGGTGCATAGGTTCGTTTATATATGTGTTTGTGTGCGTATCACTCAACAAAGCTGGGCATAAACACTACCGGTATGAAATAGCGGGAAGCTTGAAGAGGGGAGGGTACGACAAGAAGCGATGAGTGAGGCGGACATCCGAGAAGGTACTTGTGATAGCATCCTATCGTGGCATCCATCAATGGGGCAGGTGTGCGGAGCGCCGTCGGGATGTCAGATGGTCAAAGGGAAGAAAGTGAGACAAAATGGATGAGGTGCTTTTCCGACAATAAACTAATTAAATTAAGGAATGGCAGAGTTTAATGAGCTCATCTTCGAATCACGCAATTCCTCAGTAGAGGCAAATCGCTTGATCGAACCGCAAGCCGCTGTGTTGCGTTGCTTGGTCCTCCCATGCACACTGACGCAACCGAGTGGCGAAGATACCCCGAAATCATGAATCCAGCAGCAAAATTTCGCATCCAGTTTTATCCACTTGAAAATGGAGAAGAGTGGGATGCTAGCGAGGCGGCATACGCATTAAAGAATGCTACTCTGGATCAGTTACAACTGTATGCATCCTTCTACAGAAGACACTACTGTCAAGGTGTTACGCACGAGGATCAACGAGGCTGCTGTTGCATCCGGGAAAAATGAATTGCATTCGCTGAGTATTCATAAGACTTTTTTTAAGTCATGCCATGCAAGGGTGTCGAGGAGTGCGAGGGCAGAGGAACCATCGATCATCCATGGCAAACTAACTAAGCTAGAGAGAAGCTTGAGCTATAAAAAACAGCTGCACGCGGTAGTGGAAGAGAAGTCCTGCTAGTGAGATGTAGGATTATCAAGTCTGAGCATGACCACTGAGGCAAAAAAATATGCGTTTTTGCACTTGCATAAATATGCAAAAAACGTACATTTATTGCGCTACAAAGCTGCACAAAGTGCAGTATTCTGCTGTTGTGTGAGAATCTGGCACTTTTAGAAACTGGTCTACTGGTGAAATTATAATTCATTTTGAAAGCAGACTAATACTGCAACATTCAACAGTAATTTGTAGCTCCCTCAACAGAAAGAACTGCCTCAACGAGTAGAAGACGATCGTGAGCGATCGCTATTAGCTGGGTTAGTAAAAGCATTCGCTCTTGCTAACGTGAGAGTGCCCCATCTCTCTCTTAGTGAAAGGCGAAGCGCATTAGCAGTGTGCAACAGTATTGTGTAGTATAGTAGGATCAGTGCGATTGTGCGGAAGAACATTGTTTGGATTGCTGGTGTGTGTTTGCTTGCCTACAGTACTCATCAGCACCACCGACCGACTCATTCACGCCTTATGGAACAGTTACCAAATGCACACAACTGAAAGCGCGAGAAGACAGTGGGAACTTTAAGTGTCCGCAGTTCTGGTGAAAAAGTGGCCCTGCATCTAGATTACGATCAACTGTGAATCCAAGAAGCAGTCAAGACAGAAGGATGCTGGAATTTGTAAAAGCCAATTTTCGAAACAATTTAGTCGTCACTCAGCTGGAAGTAACAATCATTGAACGAAATGAACTGGCTTCTGGACCGGCGGACAAACAGTCCAATTTAATGGAGCGCCCATTCCAAACCATTTGTTGGACACAGATCTTTTACCTCAAGCTTCTTTCCCTCTACAAACTTCGGATGAGACATCATCGCGAACTAGCAATCGAAGTTTGCTACTACCAAGCACTTGTTTCATATCCTATACTGAAATCTTTCAAGAAAGGTGAAGCAAGCGCTACATTGGTGACCGAGCAACCGGCCCCTTGTTAAATTCTGAAATGAAGCTGCATGGAAGCAGGAGATGCGATGCATTTTGAGCACAAACATTTCTGGATTTATTTTTGGAAAGCAGCAGTTTGGTGGCAGTTTTCTTCGCTTTGATTAACACTTTAATGGCAAAAATCATTAATACTTCTGTCGCTGTTTTGATTAAACCCAGAAATTTCACATGCACTATTAAGGAGAGGTGCCCCCGTTGGTGCCCTTTGAGAGCGCCCTCGGCTACGCTGGCAGTGAATGAGTGAGTGAGTGAGTAATTACTCAATGCAACATAACA